GGCAATTTCATATGTTTTAACCTAATAGTTCCAGAAAAAGTCCCAAGTTTATCGGTCCCACCAGAGACTCTAGGCTTTCATTTTACCAGCCTACCAACCCAATGGAAAGAAAAAAACTGAAAATTAGATTGCAATTTTTAAAGTTGCCATTTATGTAGCTCAAAAATAGTCGAATAATGGCAATTTCATATGTTTTAACCTAATAGTTCCAGAAAAAGTCCCAAGTTTATCGGTCCCACTTAGATTCCATACCCATTATTAAACCAATCATCGTGGCCACTGGAATGCAGTACTCTTACTGGGTGATCCTGACTTATATGCCCACCCACAGAGCCATGTGGACAAAAAGTGATAGAGGACTGATTTCTCAAAGGAATTTTAAAGTGCTGTCATCAGGAAAGTGAGAATAAAAGCTGAGCAAGCAAAACACCAAGTGCCCATTATGCATACCAAAGGTGGAAATTTACCGTGAAGGTAATGAAGTCTAAACTTCAGGATAACGAAACCTAAATCTCTCTTGCATAGGCTCCTTCCAAGACAGTGTGTCTAATTTTGTATTTAAATTTTTAGGTTCGTTTTCTCAAAGAAAGGCCCCCAAATTATATAAGCTTCAGGACCAATGAAACCTACAATTACCCCTAATAAAAACACTCAAAAGTATCTGCGAAATTAGTAAATGAATGTTTTCAACATATCGTACTCCTTCCTGTTTTTAATGAAATAAGCCATTTATTAAGTAGGCTATTCACTAAATTCTTTGCAATAACTTAATCTCTTAACTTTTGACATCAACAGGAAATAACTTGATCATTCCCTTCAGATCTCTCCAGCTTCTACAACTTTGCATCTTAGCGTATTTTTCTCTGCCTATTTCACAAATCCACTCAGATAAGGCCCCTTTTCATTTTTTCACCTCCTTAAACTTTACCCCCAGATGAAACCTGCCTCCCAGTATCTCCTTTCATGAGAGGTCAGACCAGTTTGAGACTTTCATCTCTGGGACCCACTGTGGTTTCTTATAGCACCAATTTTAAGAAACTTATCAGTTGTTCATTTTTACTCTAAACTGATATTATCTGATATATTTTTTTTAATATTGCAAATAAAAATGAGTTCTCTAAAACTGCTATAGAGGGAACATGAAATATAAGGTGTATCTTATATTGGAGTGAATCTAGGATGTGACTTGTGTGACAGCCATATATCTAGAGGGGACCCCATCACCAGGGATGTGCCAAAATTGGGACTGGGTAACCGAAAATGTGCCCTTGATGTTGAGCTTTCCATCTGCACTTTGCCCTTCTACTTGGCAGTCAGACAGCCCCAGGAATGTAAATTAATGCCATTTTGAATGTGGGGGAAGGTGAGAGAACTAAGCCTGCCTGCTGCTATTCTGATTACAGCATTTGTCGCTGAGAGACAGCTCTGGGATTGATGCTATTTTTCTCCCCTCTCAGGAAAATGGCTTGGGCTGTGTATCAGGGAAGGCCAAGGGGCACCTACAAATGGCAATTTCTGCTTAATCCCCCAGGAGGCCGCCGAGTGTGTAGTCCTTCAGATGTGGTGTTGCACTTGGCCCGTTTATTTCTCCTTTCCCCTCCCCCACCTACTGCAAGAAATATGGCATAGAAACAGGAGAGTGCAATTGTGTTGCCTTTTTTTCTTTTAATGTGTTGAAATTGTCTCTAGGCAGAAGAAGGGGGAGAGAGTAGAAACCAGATGGTTGTAGCTGGAGTAGAAACCTACTACTGAGGAGTTTTGAGATGCTTAAATCTGGTGGAAGTCACTATTTCCTTACAGGGAAAGGGGATGAAATAACAGAGTAGAGGCAAAAAATTTCCAGCAGATAGATCTACAGTGTCCTGTTCTCTCCATCCTATGTTCACATTGACACACATGTACAAGGCAGTCCCTTTTCCTTCAGGTCTCCAAAGCACCACCGACCATGGGCTGTAGAAAGCTTTTCTTGAAGGCTGGGCAGGAGAGAGGGGAGTTGGTGGTAATGAAAGGGGTTTATATGACAGGACTTAGTTTACAAATGAGTATTAACCATCCTTCTTTAAAGCCCCTTAGTTCTCTTGTTACCTTTCTCCCCACCAACCTCACCGCCCACTACTCACCAATCCCAGGCACTGACGTATCCCTCAGCCTCTCCTTTGCCCTATACACATGAAGTAGAGAAAATAGAGAGTAGGAGAAAGAGGAAGTCAGGGAGCTGGCTAAGGGGTTAACCTCTTTTATCTTCTTATGTCTGGGGGATTCAGACAACAGATGAGCCCTTCGCCTTCTCCAGGCCCTCAAATACCTAGAGGACAGCAGCACACAGAGATCTGGGGGTGAGTGCTGACGACGCCCTCCGCCAGTCTTTGATAGGGAAAACGGTCTCGCAATCTTTTGTGATGTACTATTCAAATACAGCTGAATATCCATTCAGATATCCACCTGCTAGGTTTTTTATTTCCTCTACAACCAAACACGTAGCGTCTTTTTCAAGACCACTTGTCCAACTCTCTCACACCAACTAGGAGTCCTACAATTCAATTCATTTCTGGCACTCATTACACGCAGTCAGCATCAGACTCTACAGGTCTAGGGACTCAGTCCCACAAGACTCCCCTCACTTCAGAAGCCAGTCACAAGTATCAGGTCCCCAACCTACTCTTCTGTCCAACTTTGGCTACAATTCAAGCATTCTCACAACCTCCCTCTCAGTTTTGATTATCCACTGGAACAACTCACAGAACTCAGGAAAGTGCTTTCCTATGAAGGGTACAACTCAGGAACAGCTAAATGGAAGAGATGCATAGAGCAAGGTAGGGAGGTACAGGGCTTTCGTGTTCTTTCCAGGTATGCCACCCTCCCAGCACCTAGATTTCTTCCCCAACCCAGAAGCTCCCAAACTCCACTGTTGTTTAGGGGGTTTTGTGGAGGATTTTTTGTTTGTTTGTTTTTTAATGCAGCATGATTGATTAAATAATTTGCCTTT